AAGCACTTTTACGATATCAAATACTAAGGGTATATTCAAAGATTGACACACTGATGGAAAAGAGAATGACAGATGAACAAACTTAGAGTCAAGTTTGGCCTGGAGGATTCAGTTATATGCAGTTTGCACACATGCAGACTCACGCTTATAAAACGGCAGAGAGGAACAACTGCTCGACAGGCCATAATTAAGAGGCAACTCTGCCAAAGGCAAAGCTTGGGGCTATTGCATATCCATTGGGCTGTAAAACTAGACAAGCAACAGCACATCGCCAACACCAAATCAAATTTATCTCAATTACACAGGATCGCTGGCATAAATATCTCTGTCTAGGGCTGTATGTTAAACATGGCATTTTAGCTAAACAATGCGGGTGCAGATCCAGACTTTGGTAATTGAGTGATGCACGCTATCCAGATGTAAGTTAATGGAGGGTAGGCAGACAAACAGCAGGTGTAATTCTCTCTCCGTCCTGCTGAGCTCTAAAAGTCAGTGCTTAGCACCCACTGCTCCATCATCTGGCCTCTCCCAGCCCCTGTGACAGCACATTTGTCATCATTTTCACATTTTGGGCAAGAAATGTACTGTTTTAATGGCGCCCTCTGAACGGTTCCAGATGTTTGTTTATTTGTTGTACCACAACTGTAAAGTCATTTATTCTTCATACGCAGTCCCATTTACGGGCTGCAAATCAGCGACGGCAAAATGACGATAAGAAAAAAGTGCATGGTCCCTAGGGGGTCTTCAGTTAAGATTTTCTCTTTGAAGGCTGCCTGCCTCAAGGGGTTAGTTGTGTTTCATTTAAAATACAGTCAGCTGGAGCAGGGCCCAGAATAGGAGCGTTTAAAGTCGGTGTGTGTGTGCGGCTGATGGAGGAGTATGGTTTCAACCTCGATGGCTTCTGGTTCGCTCGCCATGGTGAAGATGAATGATGGGAATTCAAAAGTGGTGGTCGCTGCCTTAAAATGTACGGAAACGAACAAAAGGATTTGTATATTTTCCATTTCAATTATGTATGAAGTTCCAGGGCAGTTGTGTGACCCGTCATAATGATTGTTATTAATATGGCTATCTAGAATGTGACAGCGGTGAGAGCGGTGGCTCCACTTTATTTTTGTATTTATTTGCGCCAGTGGAAAGAAAAACGTTGTCTTATGAAGTTAGAAGTGGAGATCTATATTTAAAGCAACAATTCATCTAAAAAAATACATTTGTCAAACAAAAAGAAGTAAATTAGGCACAATGAATTTTCTGATAAAAATGGCAATTACAATAATACAAAAACTGTTGTTTGCTGAGCTTGTTTGTATGGGCTAAACAAGGGTAGGTATTTTGTGATTATATAAAATAATAATAATTGTCATTATAATGTAAAAAAAAAAATAAAATCTTTAAAATAATAAGAATTACTATTGTAATATTCCACTGCAAAAATAGACTATTTAAGGAAAACATATCATTTTATTCTATTAACATTCAAGGCTGTTTTAATTCACAATCTTTTTTTAAACATTAGACAATTTTTAGTTTGGCAAAAAAAATCGCAGGGAGGACTTAAAGCTTCTGTTTATGAGCACTTCTCATTACAAACTTAAGAAAATAGTTTAATAGCACATATTGCGTTCCCAAATGCAAGTTATAATCAACCCAAATGTGGAAATGAGTTTGTCTGAGGCTGCATTTACTGCGATCTGAGACACTGATCATGAGCTGCTCATGTGAACACAGTGCTGCTCTTCACTCTGAAACACGCAGAGCATTGCAGACTTTGTGATTGGATAATCACACTAGCGTAAATATTACTTGTCAAGTTATTTACTTTAAACTTTGCTCTTATGGAGCTTGACTGAGCCATCATTGTATTTAAAGTTCTGCGGGAAAATTTTCCCTTAAAAAAAAAAAAGAAAAAGAAAGAAAGAACAGTATGCACGTTTGGAACGACAAGAGGTTGAGTATATAATTTTTTGGGTGAACTGTTCCTTTAAGACGACATTTGTCTCTTGAAAGAAACTTTGGGTTAGGTTCAGGCGACAGGCCGGTTTAAAGCTGGTGGGAGCTGACAGCAGCGCTACTTCCTGCGGCCACACACTCCACCCCCCTCCATCTCCAGACTCATGGTTCTCCGTGTCACGCCGGGCCTGCCACATAGCCTCCCTTCTTAGCTTCTGCTTTTTCCCTCCTCCGTTTCTCTCCTCTGAGCCTCTCCTGTCTGCTCGCTGTTTGTCCACTTCCTAATTTCCCCCCAAAACAGCAGACAAGGGTCTTGTAACCCAAAGCCAAGACCTCCCATGCCATGCATATAGCTAGTTTCCCCTCTTCCCTCCTCAGACCTTCTGTCTGCTGTAATTACCCATGGCACCTTGGCTCTGGGGGCCTGGCGCAGGTGACATCAATTGTAAAAATATTGAGAAAAGGTAGAGAGGGTCCCTGTTTGAGACAGCATGCTGTCATAGATGTCGCTATTCCTGCCGGCCACTGCAAGAAAGCAAGTAACATATAGCAAATGTGACTGGACTAGGCTTTTACCTATGGAAGCCTGTCCTAATTTCAGCCGTTCTTCTGCATAAAAATAGTATACAGTATATTGCATTTATTGTAAAATTCAGTCAGACATCTGCCTATACGGTATGTCTATTGAATATACACTTCCCTAAATCTCAGATTGATGAACAATGTTTTATTTTATGTATTTATTCACAGGTCCACAACAACAAATATGGCAATATCCAAGCTATGTCGAGCTGATATTAAAAAAATATATTTGGTGTCATCATTATATATGTTAACAGATACACTTTTTACATATAAGTGTCTCAATTTATGTGTTCCTGCATCATTTTCAAGTGTTTCTTAAAGTCATAGTTCACCCCAAAAATGAGAATTTATGATTATACTTCTAAATCAGTTTTTATTTTATCCCTTTTCATTCCTATACAATAAAAGTCAGGGTTGGTTTGAACCCCATTGGATTTCATTGTATGGACAAAAACATCTTCATGAGGGTGAGAAAATGGTGGCAGAATTGTCCTTTGTCTGTAAACTATTCCTTTAAATTTCCAGAGAGGCTGCAACAGCGAGCTAGCTTTGAAAGCATAAGATCACACCCTCCCTTCAGAGCGTCTCCAAAGCCACACCGCCTTCAAAACACATGAACGCGTACAGCAGGGAGCAAACAAAAGCATCACGAGAGACGGCGATAAATTACCTCATGTCTCAAAGCACATCACATTACAATAATAATGAACGTAAACAACTTAAAGAGCTCTAACTGTACCACCTGACTGCTGCAGATTCATTTCGGCATTGATAGTGTTGCCATTGAAACATAAATTTGAGTAAAGAACCGCTCCGAGTATAACGTCAAAGGTTTTGGTTACAGGTACAGGTAACGTCCATATAACGTCACAGGTTTTGTGTTTTTGTCACGTGGTTTTGGTTCAGGAGGAACTGTAAAAGGTGGCTGCTGTTTCCGTTTGTGGTGTTCAGTGACTCTAGCTATAGATAGCATGAAAACTCTAGATAGCATGAAATGAACTGATGATGTGTGATGTCTGCACGGATGTATGAAAATATATACGTTGACAGGCAGACATCTTATCATTGCATTTGGACCGAAATCAATGCGGTTGATGGTCAACGACACCTTCCACAGATAATATATATATATATATACACACATAAATGTTATGTTAATCCACATTTAGGATTAGTACACTTCGAAATGAAAATTCTTTCATCATTTCCTGACCCAAAAGTTGTTTCAAACTTGTATGAATATGAATTTCTTTCTACTGTTGAACACAAAATAAGATATTTTGAAGAATGTTGGTAACCAAACAGTCGATGTACCCCATTGACTTCCATAGTATTTTTTGCTACTGTGGAAGTCAATGGGGTCCATTAACTGTCTGGTTACCGACATTTTTATAAATATCTTCCTCTGTGTTCAGCAGAAGGAAGAAACTCATAAAGGTTTGAAACAATTTGACGGTGAGTAAATGATGACAGAATTTTAATTTTGAAGTGAATTATTCCTTTAACTTAGCGATTGCTATTAGGATGTGAAGAGATTTTCAACCAGCATAACTAAAAAGTGTTTCTGGGTCAAATCACCTACCCTGCCTTTAAAAGCATTGGTGATGCTCAAATTAAACACACAATAAATAAATAAATAATCTACAATATATGAGCCGGTAATATTTGCACTGCATTAGGATTACACAGAAACACCATGAATTATCGCCAATCCAAACACAATGCCCAATTTCCACCGACAGTGTCTTGGAGGTGAACTGCATCTTTTAGTGTCATGGCTATTCTATTAAAGCATTTTCATGGCACAGCCAAAGGTGAGTTTTAGTAAAGAGTTACAGTGTCAAAGCCGATGCATTAAGCAAATAGAATAGGCAATAAGTCAAGATAAATAAAAATGGCACGATAAAGGCAGAGGAATAAAAAGAGGCGAAGGACGAAGATGAGGGCTTGTGTTATCTAACGCTGCAGTACAGTATCGTAAAAATAACAAATGGAGAGTGTCAGCTCGCCCAAATCTAAGAGGGAGAAAAAATATTTCATATGTCAGCTCCGTTCACCTTTTAATGGACTATTCTCAAGCAGCATGATTTTGACAAAGCACTGGGCTTTCCTCTACATCACTTGAGAGGTGCAGGTCAGCCTTTGTGAAATAGATCTGTCCTTGGTGGGGGGTTGAGAAGCACACAGCTGACCTCGCATGAAAGTACCACCGCCATGGCCGTGACATAAAAACAGCGCTTTGCATTGCACAGACAAAAGAGCATGATAAATGCAGTTGGCATGAAAGCCTCGCATAGAGTCTAGCACATCACAACCTTCTCTTCTGCAGAGCTTCTGTTAGCAATCGAGTGTACGTTTGTTTAGATACCTCTCACCCGAGACAAAAATGTATGCATACTGCGTTCTCACACTTTTTTTGTTTTTTGTCAAAAAAAAAAAAATAAATAAATAAAAAAAAACACTACCTTTGTGGTTTCGGGCATCTCTGGATCCTCGTGGCAGCGGGGTGTACGGTGTTGCGGATTCGGGCCTCAGATCACTGGCAGCGTCCTTAAAAAAAAAAAAAGAGTTTGGACAAACATAAATTCACCATGCTCAGTTTACACACCTGCAAACATTTATAACGTCTCCGACGATTCATTATCCAACACCGACAGGAGAAATGTTGCTTATTGATTTCTGTATGCAATGATCCTAATTGAGTTCAATGAAAAGAACTCATTTGTCACAAGCAATCTGGAATAATTTCCCAGACTGATGCCACAAAAAGCGAGAGAGAATGGAAAGGCACGGCGGGGTGAGAGACAACGAGAGAATGCGGGCGAGATTTCACCTCCATGACTGATTGTCTAAATGCCATAAATTTCATCAGCGCAGGGAGAGGAAATGTTAGGAGCGGCTTTCTTATTTTATCAGGGAGCGGGACGAGGGCAACTTTCATTATTTTGCAGAGAGAGGAGTGAAAGGTGAGGACGGGGCCCTGACTTTGATTACCTGTCCCCTGCCTGTTTAAGAGAAGGGGCCACCAGGGGAAGGGCCCCAGCCACCATTCAGCCATGAAGAGCCCCGCGGGTCAGGCCCGGGTCAGCCTGCCACTCACTCACACGCGCTGTTGTGTGTTGACAATCCAACAGGTGGCATGAAATTACTGCTCTCCAAAGGCCAGACCTGAGTTTAAGTAAACTCATCTCTCACTGGCCGACCTTAAAAATACAAATATATTCACATAAAGGCCACCGCATAGACAGAACAGGAGTGGAGCTGCAGAGAATACAGATCGCCTGCGTGCTTCTGGTAGGTCAAAAGTGTTGTTTTCAACCTCCTTTGTCTTCTTTCAAGGACCAAAAACATAGTATATCATGATGTGTTGATATCTGATGCCTTTGTGAAAATATTGTGCTTTTCTGCAGGCAGGAATTCTCAGAGCATTTAATCATTGTAAGGACCAAAATGACAAATAAAGTGTAGAGGAGGCATATTTCATTTTTCCATTCATTGGAAACACTCAGCTTAGTGCTGAAAATGTATTATGCATGCAGTGCTTAAAGGTTTGGGGTCGGTAATATTTTTGAAAGAAGTCTCTAATGCTCGCTAAGGCTGCATTCATTTGATCAAAAATACAGTATAAACTGTAATATTGTCAGATATTATAACAATTTAAAAACTAGTATTTTTTCAGTATCATGATCCTTCAGAAATCATTCTAAGATGCTGGCTTGCTGCTCAAGAAACAATTTGTGTGGAAACTGTGAAGCATCAGAATTATTTGAAAAATATTAGCTTGTAACAATGCAAATGTCTTTAATGTCACTTCTTTTTGCTGCATATTGTTAAAGGGATACTCCACTTTTTTGGGAAATAGGCTCATTTCATCATCAACAGCTGGGTTTTACATTTTCGAATCCATTCAGCCGATTTTCTGATATTTAGAAGAATATCAGTGACCAGACAGTTTCTGGTCCCATTGACTGCCATAGTACTTCCTACTATGGAAGTCAATGGGACCAGAAACTGTCTGGTCACTGATTGTGATGGCTAAGGCCACACTAGAATGAACATTTGCATTGGTTCTAGTTTATTTTTATTTTTTATTGTATGTAAGAATGTATATTTTTGTTTGGTCTAATGAATTAATGTTCTCTGTTTTGGTCTATTTATGAATTTCTTTGCAAGTAATTTGTTTGCTTGAATTTAATTTACCCATACCTTGGAACTGGAAAGTTACATTGTCTTTGCAGTGGTTTAAACATCAAGGAGTAACAAAATCTATTACCATTTATTTCTAGAGTGCACGCTAGAGTAAATGAAAGAACCACAACCAAAATATGGGTTTAAAGTTTTATCTAAGTTGGTTATATGTTTCTTACCCTTGGTTTCGCCGGGATCCATGACTGCAGCATGGAACGGTTTGGAATAAAAAGGGTGCGGCCTTTTCCTGGTGTCCTTTATATAGCTCATGGAGGATCATGGGAAATGTAGTTTTAGGACCATAGGGGTTGGGTTGTGTGTTAATCCACATGTGTTTAAAGGAGGTGTTTATGTATGAATGTGTAAGTGTATTTTCTTTATTGCTTTATGGTAAATGTTATTCTTATGTTCATTCAGGTCTGTGTATTGTTGTATATATTTTTCCCCTTTTTTATGTTTAATGTAATGGAATGAGAAGTCTTGTGATTTACCCCTGTAATTATCCAAATGGTTTGTTCTGGGTTGTTAAAAGTGCTTCCATGTCTGTGGCTGAGTTAGTTCTGGTGTGGGATCCCTGGTGAAACATCTGAGACCCAGAACTCAGTAATGTGCTGTGGTTGCCTCATTTATTAGTTTGTTTGTGTTATTTTGTTTTTTTTTTCCCTTTGGTTTTTTGCACAATGTCTGGTCAACCCTCAATTGTTACCATCAAATAAATGACACTTTATTGACTCCACGAATGTCTCCTGAAAATTTAATGGAAAGAACCTGACACTGATATTCTTCTAAATATCAGAAAATCGGCTGAATGGATTCGAAAATGGTAAAACTCAACTATTTAACTCTGAGGGAGTATCCCTTTAAGTGTTTCTATTAAGTATTTACAGTATATTATTTATAATAAGCTAAATCTGACTTATATTGACTGAATAGGAAAAAGTGTAAATTTAGCAACAATTATGATAGACACCCATGTAATAACAATTGATAATCAAATTAAAACATTCTTCCAAAGGTTAACCATCTGCAGGCTGTTTACTGTTGCCCAGCAACAGAGAATGGAGTAAATGTTTTTCTTTTAAAACTTAAAAAGCTTTTTTTCTCTCTCTCTCTCTATCTCTCGTTATCATCACATGACTAATTATCACCCTAATTACAAGAATCCAGCGGGGTGCAGTTGCATCGGGGGTTTCCGAGAATGTCAGCAGTTTCCTTGTTACCATTTCAATCACCTCTGGCCATTTGGCTTTAATATCCCAAAGCAGCATTTGTAGTGTCAGCTTCAGTCCTCCCTGACTAATTTCCTCTGGACCTGACAGATCAGAGGCCTTCCCCACCAAACAGCCCTGTCCCGGCCACAAAGCCGCTCGTAATCCTGCTGCTTGTCTACAATTAATCTTCCCAGTTGCCACATTATTAACACCACCACCCACAGACAGGGGCCGGCTATGCCCTACCGGACACAGAGCGCCCCCCCCTCCGGCCCAGCGGCCAGGCACGTCAATCACATGCCGTGCGCAAAAGTCGCCTGCTGTCAACATCAGAGATACCCCCTCTCTCCTAACCATCCCACCCCTCCTGGGCCAAGTCCTCTGATCAAACACCCCCACCCTGGAAGAAGATTAATCAGAGCCCTCCCTCCACTTCCTCCCCTCCCATCCACTCCTCTCTTTCTCTTTATTCAATGAGCCATCCTCGAGATGAGAAAGAAGGCCTGGTTCATAATGGGAATCCCGGCGAAAAAAAAAAAAAAAAAGTTAAAGGAAAACTCTGTTTGAATGCCAGCTGTTATCTGGGCCTTTCTTGGCAAAAAAAAAGGGCAGGCGGACAAGAGCCTTGCTTTGATCGGCATCCTTAAGATTTTACACAAACATAATCACAAGCCAAGGGGTCACCCCGGGCCCTTTGAATTCATTCAGTCTGGGAGCTTTGAGCACGCACAGGCAGTTAAGAGCTTCTCCATCCACAAAGCACTTTGTTTTGCTTTTAAAAGATATGCATCACTATCCATCAAATAAATGGCAACTTGTGAGCTCAGATCTGCCCATCTATAATGAATGATAATACAGTGGCCCTTAAAAAAGTATTTGGGTAGTTCAAAATGTCTAAATGTTATTGCATTAAACAATACATCAAAGCAAGTGCCATTTGCAAACAAACAATGCAAAAGCTAAGAAAACATATTTTAGAGCCATGTCTTATACTTTTTAGTATAAATACACACTGGCGACCTGGCAATTAACACATTGATTGTGTCTGAAAACTACTCTTTGTCTTAGTTTTGAATTCACTGCTAACTGATTTGATGCCAGTGATACATTTTTTAAGTGTTGGCCTATATAAAGCAGCGACTGAAATAAACATTTTGCACATATTTCTGAAGGTTGCTCGGGTTGCGAGTGAGACTCGTCTGTGAGTCTGAATAGAGAGACAGAAGGAGTTAAGCATGCAATCTAGAGTCTAGAAGAAATCTTCACATGCAGTTATGCCACTGAGGCGACAGAAGACCTCTTCGCCAAATCTGGCAGCCCTGATTCAGAGAAATCTGGAACTTTGGAAGATCAAGCGCCAAGACACTTTTTTCCAATCTCAACACTGTGGTCATCTTCAGCGCTTATTCGCTCTTCCTCTCTTTGACTAGTTCTTTCTTTTGTTCGTTCTCTTTCTCACCACCCACTCACGCTCTCACATCCACCCGTGCGCATTATTTTCCTGCTCTGGTCAGATGGGGGCGCTGCAGCGTCAGGTTTGCATGGGCGTCTCATCTCAGCACGCCGAGCTCTTGTTCTCCAGGCCCTTGGCATATGCTGCCTGCTCACATCATTATTGTCTTTATACACTGAGTAATCACTACACTTTATGATAATGCAGCAGAAATTTACAAGCTGGAGAAAGAAAAAAGTCTCTAATAATGGCATTAACAGAGAAAGCCACAGCAGCTCTCAGCCCAACAGGGGCTCTGCACTCAAAGGGAGGACTGCTTGCTGAAAATGTCACAGTGAAATATGACTCGTCTCCTGGATTATACATCATACTCATGCTCCCTCTTCTTTTCGCATGTCCTTTTTTTTTTTTCTCCCCCACAAATAAATGACGAAAAATCCAGCCATTTGTGATTATCAACTCCAAACAAATCTCCACCCGAGAGAGTGGGAAGAGGTGAACGGGTGGCTAAGATGCAGTTAACGCTATGATTTGGTTTGGTGCGAACCCCCAAAGCTGGAGATACCCTTCGCAGAAACATCAAGAGTCGAGTTTGATGTCTGGCGCAACTCGCAGCGCGTCTCGTGCTTGCGATGCCTGATCAGGACTACAATCTAATTAACGGCGCCGCAAAAGAGATACACAGAGATAGAGTGAGA